ATGCAATTTCCAATTTCCCTCTGCTGCAATGCTGACCTTAATTTCAGCAGTAACAACAAATCCCTGCATCTTTTACCTCAGTAGAAAATATGCACACAATCTTCCAGGGATATTCGTGTTTTTAGGAGACCCCTGATCTTTACCAGTCACTCTTTGTTCCTATCTAAACAAAAAACTATCAATACATAACCCAAACTAATATAAACTGTAACTTACAAATATTTCCAACAGCTTTCAGTTTGGGAAGTCAATGATTTTTGTTGTCTTTTTACCCAGTTTGGGGGTTTTGTACCATTTTCCCATGTCAGTTTTTAAAGGCTTTACCAGGACTGTTTCGTCAGAAAGGACACAAAAGATAGAGCATCACTTCCCTCCTCATTAACTCTTCTCTTGTCATCCTATTCTAATTGATCAGGGATAACATCCAAACTCAGGCACAGACTGCTTCCCAAATCCAATTAACCCCCTGTTCAAAAATTCACTGTCCACCCTCAGCATCTCTAGTGCAGCACTTATGAGGCTTGGGGTTCTTACAGAATCAATTAATCAATTAATTAGCACAACATTTGAGTGTTTCCCTGTGTTTTAAATGGGATCAGTGGCAGATTACTTCCAATTTCTTGGGATAACAGAACTCGTTGCCTGAGCACTGACTGAGTTCAACCAAGAGAAGAAACAAGGCAGAGTTTGGTTCCGAAATGTGAGCATAGGATGGAATTCCTTCTTAAACTCTGATACCTGATTATATTCTTTATTCTTCTGGATTTTAATTAGGAACCCTCAATCCTGGTGTCAACATAGAATATATTTTATGTCTTTGGTAACAATTAGAATTTTCTCTGTTGCACATAGTGGACCATGTTTTGTAGTAAATGTAGCAGGGAGTGTCCTAACCTCAGCACTAGATAACCTACCTAAATTGCTGGAAGATTCAGTAAGAGCTGCTCATATTTATTATTTGCATTTGTGAATGAAAAAGTTTTCCAAATGTGGAGCATATAGAAGTGCTCAGAAGATGTCAATCATAACTTGTATTATTTTTTACTGCAAACCAAAGGACTGAAAATATCTTCATTTGTGATCTGGTTATTGAGTTTCATTCCCTCATCCTTTTGAGTGTGTTTATACATTCCAGAATGTTTCAGCTGAACATTGCAAAGAAAAGAAGATTTTACTTCTGTAGATTTCCATTGCCAGCCAGTATAATCTGTGTATGGAAAAAAAATAAGGGAAAAAAAAAAAAACCAAAAAAGAGAAAATTCTCCAGCTGGGAGTGCAGATCACTGTGTTAGGGCCATCTCTAGGTCTTGCTGTGTCCTGCTGAAAGGTACCATCACAGCTTGGCATGGTTTTCTTCTTTTTACCTCTGCAAAGATGCCTTAGAATGCTTTAAACACATCTTGTTGTGGAGTGGGTGTTTCTGGAGCCAGTGCTGGGAAGGCACTGGAGAAATAGTGACGTGCAACAGAGAGGTCATGGAAGTGACAGCTCCTGCTGGAAATAATGATTGATGGATAGCAACCAAAGAAATCCATGTGGAAGAGGGAAAAAAATTAATTTTTGGGAACTATCTAGGAGGAAAGGCACTGTAATCTCTATTTTACAAGATGAGAAAAGACTCAGGAATTAATATGCTTTTTTCCATTGGAGAAAAAGAATCTCCAGTGGAGAGATTTTGAGAATGATACTTTTGTTCACAGCCTGCATCTGAAAGAAATGAAAAATTCTGATTCTGGAGGATCAGAGAGGTGAAATGAAATTTTAGAAGGCAGGGTTGCCAAGCACACAGAATTTCACTTTGAACTTTCTGCATGATGTTGACAGCAGCTCAGAAATTATTCTTTAGTTTAATTGCATTGACGGTTAAAGCAGAGCAGATTAAAACCAGGAACAGCTGGTATTTTTAGCTAAATACACAGCTAATTTTTCCAAAAAGCATCCCTTCAGATGACAGCTTCGTTAGTTAATTTTTCTTTTGTAGTCTCTTTTATTTTTTTTACTTTATATGGAAATCGGACATCCAAGTAAAGGCAGTCAGATTCCTTATCTGAATTTCACAAAAGAAGTAGTGACTTTGTTCACCTCCAGACAAGCATTTTAGAGGGGTCAGAGAAAGCATCTTCTACTAGTGCCCATTGATTTCTATTTACTGAACCAGAAATCCACGTGCTCGCTTCATAAATTTGCATATAAATTTAAATATCCAAAGCCAGGTGAGATATTTCTCACCCACTTGTTAAGATTAGCACACCCCGTGATTGCCCTGTGATTATGTTGTACCCTAAGTGCTTCAGAGCACAAATTTTTAAAAGTATAATTTAAAGTAATTGCTGCATTTGTAAAACTTATCTGTGGTCATATAAAAATCTTCCTGTATTAGGAATGATTTTGCTATTAATAAATATTAGTGTCCATGCCCAGCCTAGCTCCATATTCTAGAAACAGTGCAGCAGCCAGAGGACACTATAATAATCCCTAAAATGTGATTATCCATGTCTTAGAAACATTATAGTTCTGTAATGACCCGTTATTTAGGGAACCGTCATGAAATGTAACTTTTTTCATTAAACACTCATTGAACAAATACACTTGGCTAATTAAAATTAGCAGCAATGATGGCAAAGCTGATGCTGATTCAGCCAGGAGGGTGCTTTGGGATGTTGATAATTCCATTGTGGCAAGCACATTTCTCTCCCTCTCAGGATTTTTCATAGAGGTGCACATAGAGAAATGAAAGAGAAAACCATTTCTAATTCTTCTCCTTCTTTTTCCCATGTGGAATGTGTTTGGAGAATTTTTTACCTGGGGTGATTGCTTGGTTGGATTCTGGTGAGGATTGTTTGAGCCTGGTGGCCAATCCAACCCACCTGGGGCTGGGCTCTCAGAGAGGGTCACGAGTTGTGTGAGAGTCAGAGAAAGTAGTATGTAGTTTTAGTATCCTACTTTTATATAACATATTAATATATTTTAACATAGCTATAATAAAGAAATAATTCAGACTTTAAGTCAGCCATCGTCATTTCTTCCCATTAAGTTCACCTGCATTTACAATAACCATAATGAAATATTACTTTTTTCATTAAACCCACATTGAACAAATACACTTGGCTAATTAAAATTAGCAGCAATTATGGCAAAGTCGATGTTGATTCAGCCAGGAGGGTACTTTGGGATGTTGATAATTCCACCTTGGGGTCAGTAGTGCCATCCCAGTCACATGTGCTGAGATCCAGCTACTCCAGGTTAAATGTTTATTTATTTACCTAAGGAATGATGAATCTTGGGTGTGTTCCTGGTGAAGAGATGTGCAAAAACCCCCTCAAACCCAGCCCTACACGAGGTAACAGCTGTCACTTTTACTGGGGATCCCATGAGGAGATAAAGGAATGGGACATATGTTTCCACTGGATGGAATATTCTTCCTTTAGGGTCGTACTGTCCCCCTGCCACAGGCCAAATGGGAAGCACAGTGTGTGAGGAGATCTGTAAATCCTCGTAAAAATATTTTAAAATGTTATTTCAGCCCTTGATTTTATATAGGTAAAATAAATAGAGCAATAAATAAATAAATAGATCTCATATATATAAACCTATATTATAAGCTTATATTATATATATAAAATATAAAATATACAATGTATTATCTATTATATGTTCTATATAATATATTATATATAATAATTATATATAAAATATACATTATCTATAATCTATTATCTATTATAATCTATTAGTATATATAATCTATATATTATATATAATATATAATATTATATATATTTATTTATTTGCTCTTCTAAAGGCTATCTCATTTTTATTGAAGAAAATTATATTTCAATGCACACAATTTTTATTATTTCTGTTTAAACACTTTTATGTAAATAAATAAAATCTTTAAATAAATAGAAGCCGCAAATATAATAAATACAATAAAAATCCTGATTTTATTTAAATAGATAAAATTTTAAGTAAGTATAAAATAATATAATAGCAATCTAATTTTTTAAAATTTAAATAATTAATTCAAATTTAAAATATATTTATATTTAAAAGTATTTTTTCCAGTAACAGGTAACCACTTACTTAAGACCTGGAATAGGTCAAACTGAGTTAATTTTGTTTCTAAAGTGGGCCATGGGTTAGGTGACATTGGTGATGCCTGTGCCTTGGAATGGCTGTGTTAAAAATGGGGATTTCAGGATTCCTGGAGCTGTGTATGAAACAATGTCTCCTAAAAATTGTGCTCTGTGTGTGTGGTGATGCAAAAAAAACCCCAGATTTTGGACTCAAGGCTGTAAATTAATAATTAATTGGTAAAATAAACTTTGGGAAAAAGGATCCATGGTGATGAACTTGTCCCTCAAAGGACGGTGCTAATTAAGGGATCTGCAGTGGGTGCTGGGAGCAAAAGGAGCAATCTGTGTTAATTACCAGCACGGGGACAGAAGGATGTTTATGTCTCATTTCCTCAGACCATGAAAATAAGCGTGATGGAACTTCTGCCTCCCTCCAGAAATCTTTAATTCCCCCCTGACCCCCAACATGGAGCTCCTCACTGCTCATCTCAAGCCTATGTTCTCCTCCAGCACAAGCAGAACGTGCTCTTTTAACATTTTAAATATTTTAACATATTTTAAACATTTTAAATATTTGCTAAAATAGATTCCAACCGTGTTCCCCAAGACCCAAACACAGATTTGGGTCCCCACTGAATTCAGTGAGACCCAAGGGCAGACTATTCCCTTTAGCAGCTCAAATTTGTGATATTTTCATGCTGTGTTGTCTGTGGAGGCTTTTTTTTCACACCTTCCCTCTCACCCTGTGCACACTCACATATCTACACACAAATATCCTGGTTTTCTGCAATTTATTTATAACTGGAGCCCAGCTGGAGAGATTTTGATGTTTCTTTATCCTGAGGATCTAAGTGAGGTTTTACACTCGTGCTGGTCACAAGGTTTTACCAGGCAGAGGTGAAGAAGAAAGAGAAAATACTTTACCATCCTCAGAGATGATAAATCTGAAGAGTGCAGGACACTTGACAAAGACAATTTCTCCCACACTTGCAGGTTTCCAACATGTGATATTGTCCCACATTCCTGGGCAACCTGTGGAAGAGCAGGAGGGATAAAATATGTTAGTGGTGGAAATCCATCCCTTTCCTCACATTGTTACTGAGCTTTGTGGTTGCTTCTTCCTTCTAAAATCAAAAATATTCTTGTTTGGAATAATAACCAGTGTCATATTCCCTGGGAAAAAATATTTTTCATTTATAGGAATAGCATAAAATCCTTAGTGGCATCACATAGTAATGGCCAGATTTTATTGTCCTAGAAGATGCCATTCCTTATTCCCAATTAAATCACTCCAACATGCCAGAAACAAATTTTCCCTTGAGTATGAAACCTATTTCCATTTAGTTATCTTTCAGAAGTGCTGGGTTAATTAAAAAAAAACCAAAAAAAAAAACCCAAAAAAACACAAAAAAACAACCCTTATGCATCATAGAATTTATTAAATTCTATTAATTTCTGTTGGCTTTAATCCTTGGGAAGGTTTAGGAACTCACTCATTTTGGAATTTGTCTGAAAACTGAAAATCAGTTTCTGCTTCATGCTGCAGCCACTTCAGTGGATATACAAATTCACTTTTCTGTCCCACTTATTTTCTAAGGAAAAATCCTCCCTTACCAAAGAACTGTCCTAACATCACTCATTCTTTTTACTGCAGCTTTTACTCTAGAGAATATAAACTCACAATGTCAAAAAAGGATTTTTTTGACCTCTGATGATTTCTTGCATAAGCTAAAAATAGATGCAGGCCTTTAATAACAGTTCAAAGATGAGGCTTCAGGTAAAAATCTTTGAAATCAAGGTCTGAGTGGTTAAAAAATCCCAATTTCCTGCTACATGAATGCAGGAAGCAGTGATGGGACTATGGGTGGGAGCTGTCTTCCCTTGAGATATAAGAAAAATTCATTTAAAATTTATTTTAAATACAGTAAAGGAACCCAGCTCCTGCTTCTTTCTGGTCTCTGTGCCAGAGTTGTGAAAAACTGGCTTTCAAGAAGAATAAATCTTCCTGTAATTCTGCAAATTCTTCCTTTAATTCACCATTTTACCAGCTTACAAACTTAAAAGGCTTATCCAGTGTACACAAAAACTCAGAGCAATCTCTCAAATTTCCTACTAATATTTAAAAAATTACTTAGTGAGTGAATCTCAAGTAAAAACCATCTTTTGCCTCAGCAGGACAAGAAAAAAGAACCAAACCTAAATATTTCCATTGTTTATTTGCATTTGACGTTGAGATTGAGCAAATAATCCTGTCAACTGAAAAAGAGCCTCCAGCTCCACGATTTTCTACGAGGTTTTCTGTCAAAATTCTCTCCCTTTGACTGCATGCCAAGGGAAATAAAACCTTTAGGAAAGGCAGATAATACTTCCAAGTGTAACTTTCTGCCTGGCACGAGTCCAATATAGCGAGATGTGGGTGATGGACTTGTAAAATCTGTGTGGGCTCCACCAGCTCTGGTGTTTCAGCAGGTCCCCATCAGTGGAGGAGGGATCTTCTCAGGACTGGATTTGGTGTCTTTTTTTTTTCCCATCAGCTTCGGCAGTAGCAAATCCAGTCCTATGTTGTTTTGTTTTTTTTTTTTTCTAGTCCTATGTTTTATTTTTCTCATAAAAATATAAGGCTGAGCATACCACGTGTGGTGAGTAGAGCAGATCTGAGCGAGTTGGTGTTTAAAGAATTAGGTCAGTGTCAAACAACATCATTGTGATGTTCAACATCATAATGACAAGACCCACCAAAATATAAAATTGAGGCAAAAATGCTCAGTAAATCATCACAGAAGCTGGGAAAAAAAACAAAGGAATCCTTTACATTTGCTCCTCTACCTCTCTTTTCCCACTCCTATCCCAGATTGTTTCGTTTTTCAGATGAGGATGTCATCCCACGAATGCTGTAATTCACTAGAATATTTCTAGAAGTCTCAAAACTTGGGGTTTGAAAGGTTTGTACTCTCTCAACACAAGGTAGACACATTGGGTGCAGGGCCAGAAGTTGGACTCAATGATCCTCGTGGGCTCCTTCCAGCTCAGGATATTCTGATTTTATAATTTTGTGATAGTGTTTATGTACTAAGGATGGTAATCACGACCACGTTGAGTGCTGTTAGATTTTATTGTCTTTGATAGCTTGTGTCTGTCCAGGCAGCAGGAAATGCATTTTCCATGTAAATCTGAGGATGTGCAGCAACAGGTTTATAGCTCACTGAAGTGTGGCATTATGTACAAAAGTAAATTATGTGTGAACATCCACGTTAATGAGACATTTGCTTACAAGGGATGCTGGAGATAATCTGTGGTTAATGACATCTTTGGAGAAACACCTGTTGGTCTTGCTTGAGTTAACTGTGTTGAAGAGGAATAGGAAAAACTTCCTTATTTCTTATTATTATTTCAACGTAGATGTCTTCCAATATTATCCAGCAATGGATAATGCAAACCAGAGAAATGCAAGGATATCCTCAGGCTGCAGAACAGGAATATCCAGAGTGTAAATATCACATGGCAGTGTGGGTGAAATTCAGTTATAGCAGGTGGCTGATTTTGTGGTAATTCCATGCAGAGATAAAAACCAGCCCCATTTAAAAAGAAATTACAAGTTCATTGTGTCAGAAAACACTGATGTGCTGACATTGGGAGAGAGGGGAGAGAGAAGCAGCAAGTCAAGTAATTTACCTTAAAATAGGGGAGAGATGGAGATTGTAAAGGATTCCCCAACAATAAGAACATTGTCTGATCCCACTTGGAAAAGTGTATTTGAAACAAATGATTTAGAGGAGCAAAGAAAAGGGTGACAATGTAAAAATAAATAAAAATTAAATAGAATAACGGGCAGCGTGAACAATCTCCCTACATTTGTAAACCTTGCTGCAGCCAGCAATTCCTGCTGGGTGAAATCTGCCCGCGGAAATCAAAGTGACTTGAGTGTGAAACTGCCCAGCAGGGTCTCCTCTGACAGTGGCAGGGTCTCCCCACTGCCCAGTGACGTAGGGATGCCCAAGAAACCTTGGAAAGAGGTTGCTCACACACTCCAATTGAAGCTGGACAAATTTTCCTAGCTTTTACCAACTTAGGAAATCAGTAATAACAAGGAATAGTTTTAAAGAATAAGATTTCACGTGGGAAGGAATGAAAAAAAAAAA